GAATTTAAAATGGTACAGTTACTTGTAAAGATAGTCTGGCAGTTTCTCAAAAGGTTAAGCATAGAGTGGACATATAGCAATTCCATTTCTAGGTCTATACCTGGGAGAAATGTCTACACAAAAAAATGTGTGCATTAGTGTTCGTAGAATTAGTCATAATAGCCAAAAATTGGAAATCATCCGAATGTTTATTAACCAATGGATGGATAAATAAAATGTGATCTGGCCATACGATGGATATTATTCAGCCATAAGAAGGAATGAAATACTGATACGTGCTGCAAATGGAAGAACCTTGAAAACATAAATGAAAAAACAGCTAGACTCAAAGGCTATATATTGTATAGTTACACTTATATGTAATGTCTAGAATAGTCAAATCTATAGAGATAGAAAGTAGATTAGTTGCCTGGTGCTGGGAGTAGGGGGGCGATTTAGGGTTGGTAACTAAGGAGCATGGATTTTCATTTTTTAATTTCTTTTATTTTTGTGTGGGCGTCTCACTTTGTCGCCCAGGCTGGAGTGCAATGGCACACTCATGGCCACCCCAGCGTCGACCTGGTAGGCTCTGGCGATTCTTCTGCCTCAGCCTTCCAAGTAGCTAGAACCATAGACGCTCACTATCACGCTCGTCTGATTTTTAATTTTTTTAATTGTAGAGATGAGGTCTCACCAAGTTGCCTGAGCTGGTCTCAAACCCATAGGCTCAGTCAGTCCACTTGCCTTGGCCTCCCAAAGTGCTGGGATTACAGGCTGAGCCACCGAGCCCAGCCAAGCATGGGTTTTCATTTTGAGGTGATGAAAATGTTATAAAATTGACTGTGGTGATGGTTGCACAATTCTGAATGCACTAAAAAAACAGTGAATTGACACTTTAAATTGAGAAATTGTATGGTGTGTGAAGTATATCTCAATAAAGGTGTTAGAAAAGAATCACTAATGGAACTGAAAAACTAGAAATTAATCAGTTTCATTCCTCAGATAGCTTTCTTATTAAAATTGATCCTAGGGGTTGAGTGCAGTGGCTCATGCCTGTAATCCCTGCACTTTGAGAGACCGAGGTGGGAAGATTGCTTGAGTCCAGGGGTTCAAGACCAGCCTGGGTAACATAGCAAGACACTGTCTCTACAAAAAATAAAAATAGAATTGATCCTAGGAGAGGCCTCAAGTTTTTCTGGGTGAAAAGTATGTGTGCTCCCCCTTTTTCCTATAAATTGCATGATTGTTTTTATTTTTTTCGTAGTCTCACTCTGTTGCCCAGTCTGGAGTCCAATGGCACGCTCACAGCCACCGCAGCCTTGACCTACTGGGTTCAGGTGATCCTTTCGCCTCAGTCTTCCAAGTAGCTGGAAACACAGGCATGTGCCACCACGCCCGACTAATTTTTTTGATTTATTGTAGGGACGAGGTCTCGCCATGTTGCTCAGGCTGGTCTCAAACCCTAAACTCAGGCAGTCTTCTCTCTTCCACCTTCCAAAGTGCTAGGATTACAGGCTTGAGCCACCGCGCCCGACGCATGCTTGTATTTTTAATGTGGCTTGACACCATTTTTTTCTGGGATTGTGTGGGCTTTGCTGTTACATTTTTGAGAAATACTATTAGAGATAAGCAATCTTCTATTTTAACTATTTACAGACATTCATTAATATTTTTAAGACCAACATTTGAATTTTGTAGTTCCATTCTTTTTTTTTTTTTTTTTTTTGAGTCAAAGTCTTGCTCTGTTGCCCAGATTGGAGTGCAAGTGGCACACTCACGGCCACCACAGCCTCGACTTGCTGGTCTTAGACTATCCTTCTGCCTCAGCCTTCTAAGTAGCTGGAACTACAGGCACCCGCCATCATGCTCTGCTAAGTTTTTGATTTTTTTTTTTTTTGTTTTTTTTAGTTAGAGTCTCACTCTGCTGCCCAGGCTGGAGTGCAGTGGCACGCTCACGGCCACCCCAGCTCCATTCCAGCACTGCTGGACTCCGGCGATCCTTCCATCTCAGCCTTCCAAGTAGCCGGAACTACAGGCACGTACTACTGCAACCAGCTAATTTTCTTTTTCTGATGTATAGTAGAGATGAGGTCTCGCCAAGTTGCCCAAGCTGGTCTCAAACCTGGGGGTTCAGGCAATCCGCTCGCCTCAGACTCCCAAAGTGCTGGGATTACAATGACTGAGCCACTGAGCCCAGCCAATTTTTTAATTTATTGTAGAGACGAGGTCTTGCCAAGTTGCCCAGGCCAGTCTTGAACCTGGGCTCAGGCAGTCCTCTCGCCTCCGCCTCCCAAAGTGCTGGGATTACAGGTGTGAGCCACCGCTCCCAGCATATTGCACGTTTTAAAATAAACTTTGTCAGAGTAAAATGTGCATCTAGAAAAATATGCAAGCCGGGCTCGGTGGCTCAGCCTGTAATCCTGCGCCTTTGTGAGGCTGAGGTGAGTGGATTGCCTGAGCCCGTGGGTTCGAGACCCACCTGGGCAACTTGGCGAGACCTCATCTCTACAACTAATCAAAATGAGCCGGGTGTGGTAGCGCGTGCCTGTAGTTCCAGCTACTTGGAAGGCTGAGGCGGAAGGATCGCCGGAGCCCAGCAGGTTGAGGCTGCGGTGGCCGGGAGCGGCCACTGCACTCCAGTCTGGGTGACAGAGTGAGACTCCAACTCAAAAAAAAAGTATGCAAATCATAAATGTTTAGGCTTAATGAATCTTCACAAAGTGAACATCTATGCTACCCTATCTAGATCAAGAAAGAATACTACTCTATCCCCAATGGTAACCACTCTCCTGATTTCTAGCACCATCAGTTATCATGTTTTTGTACTTTATGTATAAATGGTTTCCTCTGGCACCTTCCTCACATTTGGTCTGTGTGACTCATCTGTGTTGCTGCATCTGGAAGTAATTCATTCTCCTTGCTGGATAGTATGAACAGACTATAGTTTATCCCTTTGGCTGTTTTTTTTTGGTTGTTATTGTTTGTTTTTTTGAGTTGGAGTCTCACTCCGTCGCCCAGGCTGGAGTGCAGTGGCACACTCACAGCCACTCCAGCATCGACCTGCAGGGCTCCGGCAATCCTTCCGCCTCAATCTTCCAAGTAGCCAGAACTGTAGGTGCTCACTACCATACCCAGCTAATTTTTTTTTTAATTGTAGAGATGAGGTTTCACCAAGTTACCTAGGCTGGTGTCGAACCTGCGGGCTCAGGCAATCCACTTGCCTCGGCTTCCCAAAGTGCTGGGATTACAAGCTGAGCCACCGAGCCCCGCCTGTTTCTTTGTTTGTTTTTTTGAGTGGTGTCTCACTCTATTACCCAAGCTGGAGTGCAGTGGCATGGTCATGACCACCGCAGCCTTGACCTGCTAGCTCAGGCGATACTTCTTCAGCTTTCCAAGTATCTGGAACTACGGGCATACGCCACCACGCCCAACTAATTTTTTTTGATTTATTGTAGAGACGAAGTCTCGCCATGTCGTCCAGGCTGGTCTTGAAGCAGTGGGCTCAGGCAGTCCTCTTACCTCAGCCTCCCAAAGTGCTGGGATTACAGCACGAACCACTGCACCTGGCTTCTTTTGCTGTTGATAGAAATATGGGTTGATTCCATTTTGGGGCTATTACAAATAGTGTTGCTTTAAACATTCTTGGCCTTCGGATGCTCATGTGTACACACTTGGGCAAAATCCTAGTAGTAGAGTTAACTGGGTTAGAAGGTATCCCTGTTGCCAAAGAGTTTTTCGAATTGGCTGTGTGAATTTGTTCTCTCAAAAGCACAGTACTTGATTTATCAACATGAGACTATAAAAGACAAGGTTTTAGTTTCCTTAACCTCTCCATCCTCTCTCCAGTCCTTCCTACTTTGATACTTTATTTTTGGTTCTTAAGTTGGACACTGTTGTAACTTAAAATAACAAATCTCTGTTCTCCCATTTATTTTTGAAAGTCGCTTCTATCTACTTTTGATATGACAAGGATATTAGACACCTCTTCCTCAATTGTATTATTTGGAAAAGGAAGAGGCCCTCTTTCGTACAGCGAGGAAATGTTACAAAACTTAAATTTCTGCTCCAGTATATGTCCAGGTAATGTTAACAAGGGCGAACAACTCACATAAATAAATAGAGTTAACAATATTATAGAAGAGAGAGTAAGGCAAAATTACGGATACAAGAATAAAATACTGGAATAAAGGCATCTTGATCCTGGCTATTATCCTTATCAGTTAGGGCAGGGAGAGCTGCTTAAAGGATCAGTCTCAAAATTTCTGTGAGTTAACATAAGAGAAGTTTATTTCTTGTTCACCTAATAGTCCAGTGTGAGTTTTGTTGTAGGTAGGGTTGCTTTCCTGTATATACATGGGACTTAGGGGCCCTGGCTGCTTTCATCCTGTGGCCCTACCATCCCTTAGGGTCTTGGGGACCCCTGCATTCCGCTAGAGTAAGGGAGAGAAACATGGTGGAGAAGGAACTTGTACTCCCAAGAAAGTCATCGCCTCTGCTCACATTCAATTAATGGGACTTCACGTGAGAGTTTCACTTATGTGACGGGGGCTGAGAAATACAGTCCCAGGCTGGGCACTTATCCTGTAGCACCAGCTCCTCAGGATCTTGGCGGAGCATGTGATTTTGATGGCTAGCTAGCTAGCCATCTCTGCTGTGTTGTCTCTTTGAGGGTAAGACCAGATTAATGCTCATTAACGGGGGTGGGGGGAAGGGATTTCATTTCTGTTGAGCTGCTAATTGTTTTAAATGGCGAATTTCTATAGGGAAATTTAGGTTTATAACTAATGACATTTCTTACCTCCTTTAGTACTATTTAGTTGTGTGGTTTAACTTTAATTTCCTTATAGTTTCCAATTAGGCCACATCTTAGTGAAACTTAAAAACTACTATATATATGTCGATTTTACAAACCATTAACAAAGAAAAAAGCTATCATGCTATACTGTCCCACTGGTAGTAAACATTGACTACATTTGGTTTAACCCCTTCTTCATCTTTTCTTTCCTTCCCCTTTCCTCTAGTTTGAAATCGGTACAATGGAAGAAGCTGGAATTTGTGGGTTAGGGGTAAAAGCAGATATGTTGTGTAACTCTCAATCAAATGATATTCTTCAACATCAAGACTCAAATTGTGGTGGCACAAGTAACAAGCATTCATTGGAAGAAAATGAAGGGAGTGACTTTATAACAAGGAACAGGAATTTGGTGAGCCCAGTGTACTGCACACAAGAGTCAAGAGAGGAGATTCCTGGGCGAGAAGCTCGAACAGATCCCCCTGACGGCCAGCAAGATTCAGAGTGCAACAGGAACAAAGACAAAACCTTAGGTAATATCCCTATTCAGTGCTTGTATGTTCTGCAGCACAGGTGATTGTGAGCACCGCCAGGTGGAGGTGCTTAGCAAATATACATATTGTTTGTAGTGAGGTCAGTCTGCATGTCTGCTGTAGTTATGTGCCTGAAGCAAAAATAACAGAGTAGGACGTTTAATTATTCCTCTCTAGGTAATCAAGAATTGACTTTTTTGAAAAAATTTGAGGCCAATTTGACAGAAGTGGTTTTTGATTTGTCTTATTTGCATCTTTTTTTTTTCCTTTTTTTAAGTCAGTGTCTCACTCTGTTGCCCACGCTGGTGTGCAGTGGCATGCTCATGATGACCACAGCCTCAACCTGCTGGGCTCTCAGGTGATCCTTCCACCTCAGCCTTCCAAGTAGCTGGGACTACAGGCATTCGCCGCCACACCTGGCTTAATTTTTTGATTTATTGTAGAGACAAGTCATGCCAAGTTGCCCAGGCTGGTCTTGAACCCATGGGCTCAGGCAGTCCTCTTGCCTCCTCCTCCCAAGGTGTTGGGATTATGGGTATGAGCCACCACGCCTGGCCTATTTGCATCTTTAATGTAGTCCAATAAAAAATTACTGTGGAGGCCGGACGGTGTGGCTCATACCTGTAATCCCAGCACTTTGGTAGACTTAGGCAGGAGAATCACTTTAGGCCAGGAGTTCTAGACCAGCCTGGGCAACATAGTGGGACCCCCCCCCCATCTCTTAAAAAAAAAAAAAAAAAAACAGTGGAAACCATATAGTTATTTGGTCTGTTTATTTTAAAAGTAGGCACAGAACTTTAGAGACAACATAACGTTTTATCTATTGTTCAGAAACTAGGGTAAAACTGGCTTTTATGGGTATGTTCTCTCTCTTGCCTTGTTAGTTTGAGATTTAGGTCTAAGAATGCAGTATTCTAAATTTCATGGATAAAATCTGAAACCTCTTTTATTTTAGCCTTATTGGTTGTCCCCTAGTTTTTTATACTTGTTATACTTAAGATTTACAGTGTTTATTTAGCATGACTTTTTTTTCTTTCTTTCTTTTAAGAGTAGAAAAACAGGTTTATTGAGTACATTGCAAGAGAGCAGCAGGCAGGACAGCAATAAGGGAGCTGTTGGCTTGTTTTGCGTGGTTTTGTATGTGACTGTAAATTAGAATTACCCTTCTTATTAAATTCATTTCCTGCTATTCTGGAAAATGTAAAAATTTATAGGAGTAGGAAAAGTCATTTTAATTCCTTACAAACAAGACAAATGTCTCCAAAATCAGCAATCCCGATTATATGTGTAAAAGTAGATGGAGTCTTTAAAAAGTTACATATGATGTTGCCAGATGACCAAGCAATTCTACCTTTAGGTATATACCTAAGTGGGTTGAAAACATGTCCACATAGAAACTTGTACACAAATGTTCATAGCAGCATTATTCATATTAGCCAAAAAGTGGAAGCAACGCAGATACTTTTCACCTGATAAATGGTTAGACAAAATGTGGTCTACCCATACTATGGAATATTGCTCAGTCATAAAAAGGAATGAAGCACTAGTACATCCTGTGTGGATGAACCTCGAAAACTTTGCAAAGTGAGAGAAGCCAGACACAACAAACAGGCCAAACATTGTATGATTCTATTGTATATGAAAGGTACAGAATTGGCATATCCATGGAGATAGAAAATAGACCTGTGGTTGCCAGGGCTGGAGAGGATGGGGGAATGAGGAGTGACTGTTACCAGGTATGGGTTTCTTTGTGTTCCAGAATTAGGATGGTTGCACAACTTTGTGACTATACTAAATTGTATACCTTAAAAGCGTGAATTTTGTGGTATGTGAATGCTATCTCAAAAAAAAAACCCAAATGGAGCTTGCATTTTAAAATCTTCATAACATTGGAAGTGAAATGAACAGTTATTTCTTACCATATTCAGTATTCACGTTTAATCGTCTCTTAAAGGTCTTACTGGGTTTGGGCTGAATGAGAGGTTTTTTTTTTTTTTTGCTTTGATTTTTTGGAGTTGGAATCTCACTCTGTCACCCAGACTGGAGTGTAGTGGCTGTTCCCAGCCACCGCAGCCTCTACCTGCTGGGATCCAGCGATCCTTCCACTTCAGCCTTCCAAGTACCTGGAACTACAGGTGCAGTACCTGGAACTACAGGTGCGCGCTACCACACCAGGCTAATTTTTTTATTTATTGCAGAGATGCGGTCTCACCAAGTTGCCCAGGTGGGTCACGAACCTGCGGACTTAGGCATATATATGTATTTTTAATGAAATCTCTTACATGTGTTAACATTTAAAACATTAAAAACCGGGCTCTGTGGCTCAGCCTCTAATCCCAGTGCTTTGGGAGGCTGAGGTGAGTGGATTGCCTGAGCCCGCGGGTTTGAGACCCACCCAGGCAACTTGGCAAGACCTCATCTCTACAATTAAACAAAAAATTAGCTGGGCGTGGTAGCGTGCGCCTGTAATTCCAGCAACTTGGAAGGCTGAGCGAAAGGATCACCGGAGCCCAGCAGGTCGAGGCTGTGGTGGTCAGGAGCGGCCACTGCACTCCAGTCTGGGCGACAGAGTGAGGCTCCAACTCAAAAACAAACAAACAAAAAACCAAATAAAAATTAAAAATAAAATTAAAAATGGTACCTCTTTTAGCTGGGCTCAGTGGCTCAGCCTGTAATCTCGTGCCTTTGGGAGGCTGAGGTGAATGGACTGCCTGAGCCCGTGGGTTCGAGACCCGCCTGGGCAACTTGGTGAGACCTCATCTCTCCAATAAATTAAAAAATTAGCCGGGCGTGGTAGCGCACGCCTGTAGTTCCAGCTACTTGGAAGGCTGAGTGAAAGGATCGCCGGAGTCCAGCAGGTTGAGGCTACGGTGGCCGGGAGCGGCCATGCACTCCATTCTGGGCGACAGAGTGAGACTCCAACTCAAAAAAAAAAAAAAAAAAAGAAAAAGAAAAAATGGTACCTCTTTTGAAATACCGTTTGTCCCCATCTATCTCAGCCACCTGCTTCTCCCTGCCAAAGTCCTTGTAGTATTTTCTTCTAGGAAGAGCTATCTTGTATCTTTTGTTTGTATTTTTTTTTTTCTTTATTTTAAAGATGTAGGGTACAATTTAAGGTTAGGTATACAAATGATCATTATGAAGGTACCCTTGTTGATGAGGCGTGCCCCTCCCTCCCTTGGCAGTTTCCCTCAACTGCCAATCCCCCCCCTATTATTTGTATTAACCTTAGTTAGTACATGGAATATACTTAGGTAGGCAGAGTATAATACCAACTGGAATGCCTTAAACTTGCTTCTTTATTTGAGCTTGGATAGGAGGACACTTTGAAAACTATTCTCTGCCCTTTGTACTCATCCTTTGTTTCCACTTGGACAACAGTGATTAGGCAAGGACATTTTTAAGCCTTCAACAAGTGTTCTTATAGGCCAGGCATAATTGTTCATGCCTGTAATTCCAGCACTTTGAGAGACTGAGGGAGGAGGATTGCTTGAACCCAGGAGTTCGAGATCAGTCTGGGCAACATGGTGAAACTTTGTCTCTACAAAATATTAACTGAATGTGGTGGCATACACCTGTAGTCCCAACTAGTTGGGAGACTAAGGTGGAAGGCTCACCTGAGCCCAGGAGGTTGAGGCTGCAATGAGCCGCGATCATGCCACTGCTCTCCAGTCTGGGCTTTCCAGAGTGAGACCCCGACTCAGAAAAAATAAAAAGAGTTCTTATAAATAGCTGGCAGTATGAGTGAGCAAGTGGAGAGACTTGGGGTAGGGGAGAGGAGGAGGGAAGAAGGGGCTGCTAATCCAGAATTTTTTTTTGAGTTGGAATCTCACTCTGTCGCCCAGACTGGAGTGCAGTGGCTGCTCCCTGCCACCACAGCCTCGACTTGCTGGGCTCCTGCGATCCTTCTGCCTCAGCCTTCCGATTAGCCGGAATTACAGGCATGCGCTACCACGCCCGGCTGATTTTTTGATTTATTGTAGAGATGAGGTCTCGCTGCCCAGGCGGGTCTTGGACCCGCGGGCTCAGGCAATCCACTCACCTCAGCCTCCCAAAGGCGTGGGATTACAGGCTGAGCCACCGAGCCCGGCTTAATCCAGAATTTTAACATAGCTTTTTGTTTTTGAGTTGGAGTCTCTGTCGCCCACACTGGAGTGCAGTGGCATGCTCACGGCCACCCCTGCTGTGTTCCGGCGATCCTTCCACCTCAGCCTTCCAAGTAAGCCCAGCTAATTTTTGTTTTATTGTAGAGACAAGGTTTCGCCAACTTGTCCGGGCTGGTCTCGAACCCGCGGGCTCAGGCAATCCACTCACTTTGGCCTCCCAAAGTGCTGGGATTACAGGCTGAGCCACCGAGCATAGGTTTCTTTTTTTTGAGTTGGAGTCTCACTCTGTCACCCAGACTGGAGTGCAGTGGCCGCTCCCGGCCACCGCAGCCTCAACCTGCTGGGCTCCAGCGATCCTTCTGCCGCAGCCTTCCGTGTAGCCGGAATTACAGGCGCGCGCTACCACGCCTGGCTAATTTTTTGATTTATTGTAGAGATGAGGTCTCGCCTGCCCAGGCAGGTCTCGAACCCGCGGGCTCAGGCAATCCACTCACCTCAGCCTCCTAAAGGTGCGGGATTACAGGCTGAGCCATCGAGCCCGGCAGGTTTCTTAATTGAGCTGGTAGTTCTCTTATTTTTTGTTATAGGTGTAAATTAGTTTACTATGGATGTCAGAACATGGGAGGTATTAGTAGAATTTATAGGTTAGATTTGATCTCTTTCTTCTTCCGAGACTTATTTCTTTTCTTGTTAATCATCAGGAAAAGAAGTTTTATTACTGATGCAAGCCCTAAACACCCTTTCAACCCCAGAGGAGAAGCTGGCAGCTCTCTGTAAGAAATATGCTGATCTCGTGAGTATTAAATCAAGGGTATGAGGACCAATAAGAAACAGCAAAATGTGTGTGTGTTATAAGTTTTTTAAAGTACAATTTTATGCTTTATTATTATTTTCTTTTGAGTTGGAGTCTCACTCCGTCACCCAGACTGGAGTGCAGTAGCCGTTCCCTGCTACCACAGCCTCGACTTGCTGGGCTCCGGCGATCCTTCTGCCTCAGCCTTCCAAGTAGCTGGAACTACAGGTGTGCGCTACCACACTCAGCTAATTTTTTTTAATTTTTAATTTTTTAAATTATTTATTTATTTATTTGTTTGAGTTGGAGTCTCACTCTGTCACTTAGACTGGAGTGCAGTGGCCGCTCCCAGCCACTGCAGCCTCGACCTGCTGGGCTCCAGTGATCCTTCCGCCTCAGCCTTCCAAGTAGCTGGAACTACAGGCATGCACTACCATGCCCAGCTAATTTTTTAAAAAATTTTATCGTAGAGATGAGGTCTCACCAAGTTGCCCAGGCGGGTCTCGAACCCGCGGGCTCAGGCAATCCACTCACCTCAGCCTCCCAAAGTGCTGGGATTACAGGCTGAGCCACCGAGCCTGGCTTATTTTTTATTTTTATTGTAGAGATGTGGTCTCGCCAAGTTGCCCAGGCACGTCTCGAACCCGCGAGCTCAGGCAATCTACTCACCTCAGCCTCCCAAAGCGCGAGATTACAGGCTGAGCCGAGCCCAGCTTGATAGAGCTTTAAATGTGAAATTATATTTTATTCCAAAATTGAAGGAGAAGAATCTGATTTCTTGAAGCTTTCTGTTGGTGGCATAGTTTCATTTTATGAGGTGATATATGGAGAACATTATAATGCAAAGGTGTGGCATCGATTTTCTAAAACTTGGTTTTAGAATATTTTTCAGCCTTCTCATTGCTGTGTTGTGATGCCTTATATACCAGTCAGTTGGAGTGTAATGGTTCCTGTATTTAACTTTTCTGAAAGGAATTTGAGAGATCAAGGTTCTGTTTTGACTGAAATTATAAATTGGGTGAAATAGTGTGCTGAAACAATACTGTGTCTCAGAAATATTTATTTATCGTCTATTATGTGCTAAGTATGCTTTTTTCCATCTTCCAAGGAAATGGACCTTATGGAAGAGTTTGTTCTGAGCCTGTTATTTCAAGCAGCATCAATTCTCTTTGTGGAATTATGAAAGCAGTTTCACCTTGGAAACTCTGCCATCCTATTAAATTGAAGGCTGAGAAAGTCATAAAACCCTTTGAAGGAAGGGTTGTGAAAAACTTTTAGAATAAGTGGTTCTAATACAGATGCTAAAATTATTGCCTTTTGTGAAATACTTAGGGGGATGAGTTATCATTTACAATTTTTATGCATTTTAAAAACAATTTCATATCATAAACCATTGCTTTTTATCAATGACTAGCTCTAAAATTCGGATTCTGTTCATAGTTGAAGAATGACAGTTACTTTCCCTCAGTTTATAAAGTGGTCCACTTAGCTGGCATTCAGTAGTCCAGCACGTTCTATTATTTGGCACAGCAGGGAACTCTGGGCATCAACGTAAATGCCCAAGATAGTCACAGATGCAAAGATGGAAATAGTGTGGTTGGATACTTGCTTCAGAAAAGGAATGCTTTCATCCGCTGTGGCAACCTGTCCCTGTTGGTGCCATTCATATGAGGAGAAAGAAGACAAGAACAGAAAAGGAAAGAGAAATAAAATGGAAAAGAGTAGAAAACAGAAACAGCTGTGTAGAAGGTTAGCTACTTGACCTTAGTAATGTGACAACAGCAGCCAGCCATGAATGGAATAGCAGAAAGAACAAATAGTCACTGGGATAGTCATTTTCAGACACACAAATCTTTGAACCTTTTGTTAAAATGCACATTTTAATTCACTAGGTCTGAGTTAGGGCCTGAGAATATGCATTTTAGCAAACTCAGGTGAAGATGATGATACTGCCAGATGATGTTGGATCACATTCTAAATAGTAGGGGTCTAGGGTGTTTTTATTTGTGGTTTTTGTTATTGTTTTGTGTGAATATGGTTGTTGTTAAGTCACTAGTAAGAATTGTTACGTACATTTTAGGATGTGACACTTTGAAGACTTGCCCAGTTGAGTAATCTCTGATATCGTTTGTGCTGAACATATGAAAGACAAAATGTGTACTATTTTTAGAAAATGTTCTAAAAGCTTTATTTCTTGAAGCAACACTTCATTTGAAAGGCAGAATATAGCCGGGCTCAGTGGCTCAGCCTCTAATCCCACGCCTTTGGGAGGCTGAGGTGAGTGGATTGCCTGAGCCCACGGGTTTGAGACCCGCCTGGGCAGCGAGACCTCATCTCTACAATAAATAAAAAAAATCAGCCGGGCGTGGTAGCGCATGCCTGTAATTCCGGCTACTTGGAAGGCTGAGGCGGAAGGATCGCCGGAGCCCAGTGTGGGCTACAGACTGAGACTCCAACTCAAAAAAAAAAAAGGCAGAATATATAGGTTGTATATAGCTCTACATACTGAGCATGTGTAGTATGTAGGCCCACCAAGGGAATAGGCTTTTCCCGAGGATTTTTCTGAAAACTTCCCTTTTTCCATTTATGGTCTTTGCCCTTTTGTAATGCATATCATCTTACATCACTGTGTTTGATGCCCTGACACATACAACTGTTTTGTAGAGTGGGAGTTCGGTGTACTGTAATTAGGATTGTCCACTGGGAGACCTTGTATCTACCACGTTCACCAGATCCACATGAGTTCATAAAATTGTAGCATTTGTCTTTTAGCTGAAGACATCATTAACATTTTCCTTAAATACTTTATAATACTATTCTTTACTGTTCTGTAGTCGGTTTGTGTAGATTGTTATCGTGTAATAATAAATCTTAGCGTATGACTGTGTGGGTATATCCTCATACTTTTTGTCTGAAGTATCTTGGCTATTCTTGATCCTTTACTCTATAAATTTTAGATCCTATTTAGTAGTTCCATGGTAGGGGGAAAAAGCCATTTGGAATTTCAAAGAGCATTTCATGGAATCTATGGATGTATTTGCAGGAGAATTGCCATCATGATATTAATGGGACTTAAAAAGTGGTTATCCTTATGGGGAAAAAAATGAACTTAGATCCTTACACACCATACACAATAGTCAATTTCAAGTAGATTAAGAGTATTTTATTTATTTTATTTTTTATTTTTTGAGTTGGAGTCTCACTCTCACCCAGACTGGAGTGCAGTGGCCGCTCCCGGCCACCGCAGCCTTGACCTGCTGGGCTGCAGCGATCCTTCCGCCTCAGCCTTCCAAGTAGCTGGAACTACAGGCGCGCGCTACCACACTCAGCTAATTTTTTGATTTATTGTAGAGATGCGGTCTCACCAAGTATCCCAGGCAGGTCTCGAACCCGCAGGCTCAGGCAATCCACTCACCTCAGCCTCCCGAGGCGCAGGATTACAGGCTGAGCCACTGAGCCCGGCCAGATTGAGTTTAAATGTCAAACATTAAAGCTTTAAAATTTTTAGATATTATTTTGACTTATTAATAGATAAATAGTTTTTCAGTTGGGTTAAGGAAGGATTTCTTATAGCACAAAAAGCATTGTCAGAAAAGATAGTACAAATTGACTTTATTGAACTCAAGATTTTCTTTCCATCTAAAGAACCTCACTTAAGAAAGTGAGAAGACGGCCGGGCTCGGTGGCTCAGCTTGTAATCCCGCACTTTGGGAGGCCAAGGTGAGTGAATTGCCTGAGCCCACGGGTTCGAGACCTGCCTGGGCCACTTGGCGAGACCTCATCTCTACAATAAATCAAAAAGATTAGCTGGGCGTGGTAGCGTGCGCCTATAGTTCCAGCTTCTTGGAAGGCTGAGTCGGAAGGATCGCCGGAGCCCAGCAGGTCGAGGCTGCGGTGGCCAGGAGTGTGCCACTGCACTCCAGTCTGGGTGACAGAGTGAGACTCCAACTCAAAAAAAAAAGAAAGTGAGAAGACATTACAAACTGGGAGGAACATATTTCCAACAGATACAACCAACAGGAGATCCAGTGTCAAGAATCGTTAACAAACACTGATGAGAATAGGACAGCTAACCCGAAAGTGGGGCAAGAGACACAAACGAGGCATTTCACAGAAGTGGAAACACAAAGATATCTTAACATAAAGGTCCATAAACATACGGAGAGATGTTCCACCTAATTTGTTATCAGGAAGATGCAATTTAATGTTCATTGTAGTGGCATAAATTAAGAAATCTGATCATACTACCTTTTGGAGAGCATGTGTATCTACATACATGATCGCTATGGACTGTTGTTGGGAATATAAACTTGCCATCCACTTTGGCATGCAGTGTGGCATCATCAAGTGAAATCGAACATTTAGAAGTCATTGCCCAGCAGCCCCAGTTCTAGGTTTGCATCCAAGAGAAATTTTTGACATGTGTATGTCAAGAAGCACATATGAGTATGTTCATTTGACTGTGAGTAATAAAACCTAGAAACAGCCTAAATGCCCATTGACATAAGAGAATAGATTATTAAAGTGTTTTGTGCATACTTGTGGTATGTTTTTAAAAAGTGGGATATTGTAGGCCAAATCCCATGAAGTCTGTGTTTGTGCTACCTACAGGCTCAGAATGGTTTTACGTTTTTAAGATGTTTAAAAATAAAGAACACATGACAGATACCGTATGTGGCCTTCAATGCCTACAATATTTACTTGCTGACGCTTTACAGAAAAAGTTTGCTAACCCCCTGATCTATAGCTACATGCCAACAATTCTAGCAATGTAAGCAAGAGTTGTGCTGTCCAAGATGGTAGCCGTTGGCCACATGTGGCTATTTCAGTTAAAATAAAAGTTCAATTCCTTATTTGGACTAACCACAATAAAGTCAAAACAACTAAAACCGAAAATATTTTTTTTAAGAGTCACACATGAAATAAAAGAACAAGGAAAGCAAAGGGAGATGAACACAGGTCGTGACTTCAAGGCAGAGAAGGCAGGAGAGTTAACATGCCCAGGTGGGGTCACGGCTAGTGTGTGCAGAACCTGCAACGTCTTAAATCTTGCTGCTACCCGAGGTCTGGAGGACGATTACTTTACAACACTATTATACAAAAACAGTGATTTTTTTTTCCTGCAGGAGTTTCGGTAAAGTTGGTTTTAATATCTTGTGTATTTCTTGTAAGGATGCTTGATATGTTTGAATAGGCCACCAGATGTCACTCTTGCTCTTGAAATTGTGACTCAGCATCATTTCCTCCAGCCAAAGCTTTCTTGTAAGGTCAGTAAGGCTGCCATCTTATCTGTTAATGTTTATTTGGTTATGTTTTGAGCCGGGGTCTCACTGTTACCTAGTCTGGAGCGCAGTGGCATGATCACAGCTCACCACAGCCTCGACTTCCTGAGCTCAAGTGATTCTTCCGTCTCAGCCTCCTGAGTAGCTGGGACTACAGGTATGCACCACCATGCCTGGCTAATTTTTTTTTCTTTTGTAGAGAGGAGATCTCTCCGTGTTGCCTTGCTTGGTCTCAAACTCCTGGGCTCAAGCAATCCTCCTATCTCAGCCTCCCAAAGTGCTGGAATTACAGGCATGTGCTACCGCACCTGGCCTATTATGATTTAAACTTGAACGAGACTCATTTGCTCCAAACCTGGAATTGGAGTGGTTTCTCTCACTCACAAAGAACCATGAATGCTGCTTATTGCAGTCTAAATTCTGATGACCATTTCTGTACAGTATCCTATGGATGTTTTTTACGAAAAGTAAAACTCGGTGGTGTTGATTCCTAAGTCAGTTTTTTTGTTAAATAAAAAAAGATACAAGCCGGGCTCGGTGGCTCAGCCTATAATCCCACGCTTTTGGGAGGCTGAGGTGAGTGGATTGCCTGAGCCCGCGGGTTCGAGACCCGCTTGGGCAGGTGAGATCTCATCTCTACAATAAATCAAAATATTAGCCGGGCGTGGTGGCGCACGCCTGTAATTTCGGCTACTCGGAAGGCTGAGGCGGAAGGATCGCCGGAGCCCAGCAGGTCGAGGCTGCGGTGGCCGGGAGCGGCCACTGCACTCCAGTCTGGGCGACAGAGTTGAGACTCCAACTCAAAAAAATAAAAAATAAAAAAAATAAGAAAAAATACACAAAGCACAGTAAACCAGTATTTTATATTTGGATTTAGGCAGGTCTTTTAGCAGGTAGGAAATAATCAAGACAGACATTCACTTAGCAAACAGCAGCAATTCAAGGCCTGCCTGACCTAGAACTGAGTTGGTCCTGGCCTTGAACATTGGAATAAGTTTCAGCTAGAATGAGTGCTAGTTCATTTTTCAAAGGAGGAAGGCCATAACACTTGGGCAGTGTTGCCATTGGACTTCAGGAAACTTCCGGGGCAGGAGGTGTCCAATTCAAGGGCATCATGAGTTCAAAAACCCCAACTCAAAAAAAAAAACAACCACAGGATTGTAACTGGAGATTGAGGAGCCCACATTGCCTGGGAGTCGTTGACTTGAAAGCAGGAAGAAGAGCTGTGATCAATGTCTGTAGTTAGGCAAGTGGGCAGGATCTAGGACCCCAGGGCATGGCAGGTCAATAGGGAAGTCATGAAGGTCAGTGATTCAGGCTGCTGGGCTCAAATCCTCAACCCATCCTGTGCTAATTATGGAATTTTGGGCAACTGATTAATGTTTCTGTGCTGATAATTTTCTTTTATAAAACTGGAGTAATAAAGGGTTGTTGTGAAAACTAAATATAACTAGGCCGGGTTTGCTGTCTCAACCTGTAATCCCAGCACTTTGGGAGGCCAAGGCGAGTGGATTGCCTGAGCCCGTGGGTTCAAGACCAGCCCGAGCAACTTGGCGAGACCGTGTCTTTACAATTAAACACACACACACACACACACACACACACACAACTAAATATATCTAAAGGGTAAAAAAAGATTGCAGTCAGGTTATTTTCCCTACCCTAAATTTGCTTACTTTCATATCACAATTGGAAAAGAGAAGAGAAGGTTGGCATCATAGCATGGCATGAAACAGTTTAAATAAAATATTAAACTGCAGTGTTTGGCTTTTTGAAAATGTGTACCATAGCTCTTACTGTAATTCTTCCAGCCATAATGCTAAGGTTTTTACTGTACTTTCTAAACGTTAAGTGCTTGTTAATTTTAGCTGGAGGAGAGCAGGAATGTTCAGAAGCAAATGAAGGTTCTGCAGAAGAAGCAAGCCCAGATTGTGAAAGAGAAAGTTCACTTGCAGAGTGAACACAGCAAAGCTATCTTGGCAAGAAGCAAACTAGAGTCTCTTTGCAGGGAACTTCAGCGTCACAATAAGACGTTAAAGGTTAGTTGGTTCATTTTTCTGTTTTTCAGGAGGGTCTTAGCTGATTTTATAATCACCTTGTACCTATTTGAAACAAATCCTTGTCACTAGTTGGAGACAGATACTGCCTTGCTTTCTATTTTACTTAGCTGATGTCATCTGTGAGGTCATTGTAAATGTAATACCAGCTCTCTACGCACATTTTGGTTTCCTGTTCAAGGAATAGGGCTTTAGTACACCTCATACTTGGTCACAGGGAATCTAGATGGGATTGATGTTTATGCCTAAGGCTCTTCTGCTTAGAGCCATGGCTTAGGAAGCTCAGCATTGCCAATTTTCTACTGAGCACTGATGTAGCTGATCATCATTTAGGAAGAGCTGCTGTGAAATGAGAAACTAGTAAGAGACTTGAGTCAGTGATAATGAGAAGGGAGAGCTCCCGCTGAGCTCTGGGGTAGATACCATGTCTGCATTGTCCAGGTGCCCTGCTTCACCCCCAGCTGTTCAGTTTTTAACTACTTTTAGAATACCACTTATATGGCCGGGTGCAGTGGCTCAAGCCTGTAATCCCAGCACTTTGGGAGGCCAAGGTGAGAGGATTGCCTGAGTCCAGGGGTTCAAGACTAGCCTGGGCAACTTGGTGAGATCTCGTCTCTATAATAAATCAAAAAATTAGCCAGGTGTGGTGGCATGCGCCTTTGGTTCCAGTTACTTGGAAGGCTGAGGCGGAAGGATCATCTGAGCCCAGCAGGTCGAGGCTGCAGTGACTGTGAGTGTGCCACTGTACTCCAGCCTGGGTGACAGAGTGAGACTCCAACTCAAAAAAAAGAATACCACTTCTACCTTGGCTGATTATAAAGGAAGAGGGAACAGGTACCCAAAGATTAATTGGTATCAACAGGGAAAGGGGAAAAGAGCAGAGCCACGAGAGGAACCTGCTTCCTAGAATGGGCCGGACCTTCCTTTGTGTAGAGTTGTGATACGACATTGAGTAGGATCTCTGACCAAAGACTCCCCTCTCCCACCAGACCCCCAAGCCCTAGAATATAGTAGCACTTTTGAAGTGTATCTTCACTGATATGAGAGCTGCTATTTTCTCCTTTGCTTTTGAACCCTTGGATTTAGATCTTAATTAAAATAGCCTGTATTTTTTCCCATAGTAAATCAGTATTTTGAATGTGCTGACAACTGTTTAGACATGAAAAGGTCTTTTGACACTTGTATCCTAGTAAGAGTTGAAAGTAAGCCCCCCCCCCTTTTGAGTTGGAGTCTCACTCTGCACCCAGGCTGGAGGACAGTGGCATTACTCCCGGCCACTGCAGCCTCGACCTGCTGGGTTCCAGCGATCCTTCCACCTTAGCCTTCCAAGTAGCCCAAACTACAGGTGCGCCCTACCATGCCTGGCTAATTTTTGATTTTTTGTAGGGACGAGGTCTCGCCAAGTTGCCCCGGGGGGTCTCGAACCTGCGGGCTGAGGCAGTCTTCTCGCCTTAGCCTCCCAAAGTGCTGGGATTACAGACTGAGCCACTGAGCTTTTAAAAATAAGGATTCCACATGTCCTTTGCCCTCTAGGGAGTGGAAGGTGTGACCCGGAAAGTAAGCTGCAGTCAGGGCAGTGTCTCCTCAGGCTGATCCAAGGTGATGCCCTGCATAACCAGTGAGGAGGGAGCTGGCTGCGTGGAGAAGCCCCTTACTTGGGCTTCAGTCGAGTAAATGTTAGACACCATATAACACTTGTTTTAAAGCAGGCCCATTTGTGTCTTTCTGGTTATCTGTCTACTTAGGAAAAGCTGCTTGCTTCTAAGAGAGAGTATTATGATCCTAAATAAGGGGGAGGAATTGTAGTTCAGAAGCAACACAGGGCAATAAATGAATCCACATGACAGCAGCTTCTTTTGTGAGCATCTTACCTAGAGGTATATATTATTAACAAATTATTTTGGATAATAAGGAGGAAAATATGCAGCAGGCACGAGAGGAAGAAGAACGACGCAAAGAAGCAACTGCCCATTTCCAGATCACATTAAATGAAATCCAGGCCCAGCTGGAGCAGCATGACATACACAATGCCAAACTCCGACAGGAGAACATCGAACTGGGAGAGAAGCTGAAGAAGCTCATTGAGCAGTATGCACTGAGAGAAGAGGTAACAGCATTTGGTTTGTTTAAACAGCTTCTCAGGATTAGCAAAAGCTTCACCATTTACTACTAAAGTAAAACCACTGTCACAGGATGTTTCAGAACATTCCCATATACATGGTAGAAGTCGGTTCTTTAATTAGGAAAGGATTGGGCATGACACAACCAGAAGAACTAACTGGGATCATCACTTGATGGTCCAGGGGCCACTGGATTTGGATAGATGAGATTATTTCTGGGAGACATATTAAGAACGGTTTGTCTTCCGTGTAACACTGGAAAGCTGCATTTTTAGCATATAGATTGTTTTCCCTTATCCATACTAATGATGAATTAATATTTGGCCCACAAATACCCTGTATCTCAGATATCTATGATAATCTGTACAGTAGCCATGACCATTGCATCACACCTGTATACCAATGTTTATTTCTTTTCTTTTTTCTTTTCTTTTTGAGATAGAGGTCTTACTTGGTTGCCCAGGTTGGTTTTAAACTCCTGGCTTCAAGTGATCCCCTTGCCTCGGCCTCCTGATTATAGGTGTGAGCTACTGTGTTGAGCCTTTTTTTTAAAATGAGGGTTTTATACTATTTGGGGGATAAAAAAGGGCCTACACATAACCCCTCACACATGCCCATTGAGGCAAAAATGTACTGGAGGGATCTGTGGCTGCTGAACTTGGCCAGTAGATTCCAATTAATAAACCTTTTGCAATTTGTTTATTTTTTTTGAGTTAGAGTCCCTGTCTCCCAGGCTGGAGTGCAGTGGCATACTCACAACCCCAGAGTTGACTGCTGGGCTCTGGCATTCCTTCCACCTCAGCCTTCCAAGTAGCTGGAAATACAGGCGCATGCTACCATGCCCGGCTATTTTTTTATTTATTTATTGTAGAGATGAGGTCTCGCCAAGTTGCCGGAGCTGGTCTCGAACCCATGGGCTCAGGCAATCCACTCGCCTCGACCTTCCAAAGTGCTGGGATTACAGGCTGAGGCACAGAGTGCTTTGCAGTTATTTTATAAGCTAGTCTGGATGTTCAGAGATGGTGTTCAGATTAAAAGCAAATAGGTGCTAACCTATTTTTTAAAGTTCCTCATTTTTAGAGGTCAGATGTACAGAGCTCAAAGCTTTAGGTTTCTCAGATGGTGTTTTCCTGCCTTTAAAGTTAGTAAAATGTTAAGCTTTTATGTGTGTTGTATGCCTTGCAGAAATAGATTCAAATATAGAAAAAAAAGTTCGCGACACGCCTGGGCAACTTGGTGAGACCTCATCTCTACAATAAATCAAAAATTAGCCGGGTGTGGTAGCACGTGCCTGTAGTTCCAGCTACTTGGAAGGCTGAGGTGGAAGGATCGCCGGAGCCCAGCAGGTCGAGGCTGCGGTGGCCGGGAGCGGCCACTGCACTCCAGTCTGGGCGACAGAGTGAGACTTCAACTCAGGAAAAAAAAAAAAAAAAAAAAAATCCCTAAATTTTCTTAAAATTTTTCTTTTAGTTTTGTTTATTATGACAGTCAGTATACCTCATCATAAATGTAGCAAACTCGAAAATCAGATATGTTTGTCACATTATTTGTGACTTATTTATTTTGAATATTATAGAAATTCTTTCTTTGGTTAGGATACAATTAATAATGATCAAATTATTTGCAGGTGAAGATCAATCATTTGCTGTGCTCTCTTCAGTACTTAGTTTGACTGTGTTACTTCCCCAGCTAGTATCTTCCCTCTCATGCAGGATATTGTAAGTGCAAGAGTTCTGTTTCTCTGGCTGAGAAGGGACTGTTCTGATGACTTTATTGTGCATCAGTGAGCACTTACAATTTTGTTTGGAAATGCTAATGAGCTTTTACCAAATGTCGAATGTATGCCAGGCATCAAGCACCTTACACAGCTTAGCCATTGCATTTACTGTTACAGCTCTGCAAGGTAGGTGTGGGCATCCCCTGTGCAGATGAGTGCACTGGGCTTCAGCATGGGAGGAGTTTGCCCAAGGGCCCCCATGCTGATCAGGGTTTGACCTGGGCCATTTCTACCATCATACCATGCTACCTCCAGCTGATACATTTGGGAAAGTTTAATGGGGGAGAACAAAAGGGATTATGTGCGTGATGTATGGGTGTAATAGTTTGATCTCCTTATCCTTTGTCTTGGTGCACTTGAAGCCTTATTTTTAGTGTAGGACAGAGAAAGGAAGTGCAAAACTGTGGTGAAGACAGTCCACGTCTGGCAGGGCCAAGCAGTGGGTGCCAGTCAAAGCAGTGCTCTTACAGGTATGGGATGGTTGGCAAAGTGGTGTCAAGTAGAGGAGCCACTTCTAAGTGCAGGGAGAGAAACACCCAGTGTCCTTAGCTATGGTGGTGTTAGCAGGAAAGCAGGTAGGCATGGCGTTGGAATTTGTGTTGAGTTTCCTCCCCACTGTGTTCCTTTCTTTGGTAAGTGATAAAATTCTGCTTTTCCTGTAGCATATTGATAAAGTGTTCAAACATAAGGAACTGCAGCAGCAGCTTGTGGATGCCAAACTGCAGCAAACAACACAGCTGATAAAAGAAGCTGATGAAAAACATCAGAGAGAAAGAGAGTTTGTAAGTTGTACTTCTTTAAAAAAAATTATTGCCAAAATTGGAACCAAAGCCATTTAAAACATTTGAACTTATGCTACATTTAATGTAGCACCTGGGGCATACTAATTGGTTTTTTGCTCTAGATTGGGCAGAGGGGAGAGTTTGAAAGCATTCAGCTATTTATTTCTGTTTTAACTTTTTATACATAAAATCTGCTAGGGGGATTAGACCAAGTTAGTGGAAAGACCTGCACTTGTTTGATTTTTTTCTATGCTTAGAATAGTAATTTCACATCTTTAGGTAATGGTCACCAGGTTTAATAGCTGTGCTGGTATTTAGCTCATTGAATTTGGTGAATTAATAACAAACTTACCAAATACAGGTTTCCTATATGTGATTCCATTGTTTTTATTTATAATTTCCATTTTATTTTTTTTCCAGAAGATAGTTGTTCTTCAGTCCTTAAGGACTCAGCTCCTTACATGGGCTTTGGTGGAGGTGGAGGTCATGGGGCAGCACCCGCAGGTCTAAATCGGGGTGAGGGTTTTTCGTCCTTGCGGGCTTCACGAGGTGGATTCCTCACTACCTTACTATGAATGGCACAACTCACAGTAATGCAGCTTCACATACAGCTTGGGAAGCAGCACATAGGCATCGAAGACACTTCAATGACCCTGACAGCTGCAGCCTCCACTATCTTTCAAATGACGAACTTTTTGTTTTTAATTTTTATTTTTAAAGCCGTGGGGCACAATTCAGGGTTAGGTATACAAATGTTCATTAGATAAGGTGTGCTCCCCTTCCCTGGCAGTTTCCCTCAACTACCAATTCTACCTACCTTTCCCCTGGCAGTTTCCTACTACTGCCAATCCCTTTCTTATAATAGCTTTATCCTTGGGCATGCATCGGGTGCAGTTCTTGCAGCAAATAGGTTGCACATGGCCACAACCCTTTTTGGCACAGCCCTTGTTCCTTCTTTTCTCATCTTGAAAGCAAGGACCTAAAAGAGGATCCTGTTTTTTTTTTTTTTAAGCAAGTAACTTGAAACTAGGGAAGCCATTTGTTTACTTACTCTGGTACAATTTTCTGATAAAATTTAACAGAATACTCTATACCTTATTCACTCAGCATTGTTCCCAGAGCATGTGCTCAGATTATATTGCCTTTCAGTAATTGTGAACATGGTGCAATCTCACTGGGTATGTATATTTAACATGTGTGAATTCAGCTATTATGTGCTTACCCAAAAGATAATAAAAGTGAGAAATGATTAGAATAATGTGGACTGTTTGATCCAGCGCTTCTCAGGTAGCTGAAGCCTGGGGTGAGTACGCTGTGAAGACGCAATTCCCTTGTAGCCCTCATGAAGTGCGTGTGTCACACTGAGTGTGTTTAAGGTTTAGAGAGACATGTGTTTCAGGTGTGGTCCTTTACACATGAACTGATGATAGTATCCAATGCTCAACAGAGAAATGGATTATTTCCAAAGTTGGAGTATAAATTTTATACACACACACACACACACACACACACACACACACGCATGCACATATATGTGTGTGTACTTTCTGGTGGTTCAGTAGGACTTTTCAAGGTTTCTCTGGACTATGTGTGACAGTTTACTTCAAGGACTGAATTTCACAACTACCTACTATGCAAGTTTACCATATAATTTTTTTGAAAACCCAAGTGCTGTATATAAATTAAAGCACCCAGCCCCCCTGATCCCCCACCCCCTCACTTCTTAGAAAAGTGCTCAGAAACCAGGTTTCAGATTTCATTGCTTTGCTCCGTGCCCTTTGTCCTGCCTTATCCTGCCTCAGAGAGCTTTCTAAGTCACCCGGATAATGTGATCCTTGGCCATGCTTTCTGCTAATACTGTGCATCTAATTATTTTCCCCAAAACCAGCAGTTTATCCCTGAGTTCCCTGAGTTTTGTAAACCTCGTTAGGCCTCCAGAGTACTTTTTCTGCTTTCTGTAAAAGATGATTTCTACATTCCTAAGTGTTAGCAGTGGGACAGATGGAAGATACAGGTAAATGGCAGTTCGTGGAACAGAGTGTTTCATGTGTAGACCTGTGGTTATTGCTCAAATAGTGAGAAGGGTGAAGCCTAACTGTATGTCATTTGACACTGTAGTCATGTTTGTTATCACTATGAGTATTTTGCCAGAATGTTTCTGTTTTTTAGTTATTAAAAGAAGCAACAGAATCGAGGCACAAATACGAACAAATGAAACAGCAAGAAGTACAGCTAAAACAGCAGGTAACTTGACAGCAGGGGATGGTAGTTTCTAAGAAAAATCTGTGGTTTATTTGATATATACCTTGAATCTCCTCTAAAATGTTTTGCTTTTTCCCAGCCTGAGCTGACCAGACCTGAGAAAGAGACCACATGTCTGTCCCTCTTGGTCAGCCTTCCTTTAGTGTCTCCTTTCCAAGACCCCAGATACCTCCTCTCTATCTCAGTCTGTTCCCACGTGTCACCTAATTCCACCTAAATTCCCACAAAAGGAAAACACATAAATCTTCAGATTTTAGTTCTTTTGTATCAGGTTGAACCATATGAAATTACTAAAGAAGTCAAGATTACGTCATTGATCAAAATATGACAATTTAATATAGTTCAACCTATTATTTTTAGAATTTTGTGCTATGAACATATAATGTGCTTCAAAAACTGCACCCAGCTACTTTGAAGGCTGAGGTGGTAGTATTGCTTGAGTTCAGGAGTTCAAGTCTAACCTGGTCACCAAACATAGTAAGACCCTGTCTCTCGAGAAAAAAAATTTAAAAATTTTTTGGCTGCATACAGCCACACAGCCCTGCTCACAGGTAGTGTCATGTGTGGTTGTATTTTTCATCGGGCCCTCCCTCCTTTTCAGTCCAGATCACATAGGGATGTCCTACTGTGATCTCTCTCTGGTTAACTTGTGTGGAATGGGAATGAGAGTCACAGGTGTTGTCGTCTCCTTACTCAGAAGTACAGGCAAGACTTCCTATGTCTTTATAGATGGTGAAATTAAGCGTTTGTACCCTAAATTTACCATTTGTTAAGTTAGCTCTATAGATTATATTTGGTTGAAAAAAGTATTACTTACTTTAAAAGTTTATCATGTAGTAAGTTTCTTCAATGTAAAGATTCTAAGTTAACTTTTAAATACCTTAAGACTGGCATGACTCTTCATAGCATCTCTTTGGAGGGCTGTTTTTCTTTTGGATCGTTTTACGATGTGGTGATGAAACCTTCCTTTAAAAGCTAGCCTAACTTGGAGTGAAAAGTCAAGAGGTGTCAGATATCACAAATCTTTGGAACTTTTCACCATTGGTTATGATCATGCCAGAAACCTTCTAGGGGACCCAGACTCCTTACTTAACCCTGTACAGCCAGTTGTCCATGTGCGTGGAGATGAGAATCGATGTGGAAGAGGTGCGTAGTGTTTAGATGACTTCAGAAGGTGTTCTTGACTGTGGGGGTCACTGATCATGCTGCAGGACAACTCACCAGAGGGCCCTTCACCAAGCCTCCCGCCAGCTCTGATTCTGTCATACTGTCACTCTTGTGCCTTCTACTGTCTGTGGTCAGTGCCACCTAGAGTCCTCTTAGCCAATCATTATTTTGTTTCCTTTGCTGTTACCTCTTTTCCTGCTACCTAAATGTGGCCGTCCTTCCCAAGAGTGTCTCATTTTCTGCTCTACCGTATCATTTCCCTGCATTTTGCTCGAAGTCTTCTTGCTTGGTTTCATAATAGAGCTGGTTTGTATTCTAGCCAGGGTAGTCCAGGTGTGGTGCTGGTTGCCACCTATTGGCTATCCACCGAGCTGGCATTGAACCCTCGGGTGGGACGGTGTTCAGTAAGATGGACCACAGCAAAACTGCCATAACTTCTGATGTCCCTCAAGCGCCAGAACTGCTCCCTCACTTGGCCCAAGCACCGCCAGCACCCCTGACTCCAGGCCTGTAGCCTCCGAGGCCTTGTCAGTGCCTGCCAATAAGTCCTGTGCAGGAAATTCTTCTCCAGCTCACCTGGCATTTCTCTTCCTGCTCTTTCTCTTCATCCCAGCCCAGGCCCTCACCTTTGCAGGCATGGCCCAGCTGTCTCACAGCAACCTCATCTAGCTAACGGCACTGGTGACACAGTTCTCAGCTGGCTCCTGCCTCCCACACACTGCAGTGCCTGCTTCTGAGTGCTTCCCGGATGGCCCGTCCCCCTGCTAACTGGGTGGGCTGGGTGCCATCACGCTCCTCCCCGCCCCCACATCCTGCGGTAGGTGGTGCTGCTGAGTGTTCCTAATCCAGCACTGTTGAGGCTGCTGCTTGGCTCTGATGAGCTTGTATTCTTCCCTGCTTTTCTTATATGTTGTGCGGTCTTGTGCAAAACACTTCATTCCTCTGGGTCTCTGTTCCCTCATCCTGTCATTACACTAGATGCTCTCGAAAGGGTTTCTTCCTGGTCTAAGGTGAACTCGTTCATTCAGCCCAGCCGTGAGGCCTTGCTCAGACCTCCCCATAAGTACTCTCACCCTGACTCTGCCTTCCCCAAGCACTTCTCTGGACTCCTTTCTAATGGCCAGTGAGAAAGAGGTGAGACTCCGTTTTCCATTCGGCTTGCTTTGTTGGTTAGCATTTTTTCCTCAGCTTGAGTAAAATTCCTTAAGGGTAGGGCTGCGTTTAAAGAAAAATTGGCACGTCTACCTCTTTTAGTTTTTCTTAACTATACTCCCACTGAATTCTTCTTCCCCAGCCAAACCAGTTCTTTGGCTTCTGTTGCATAGTCTTACCTACGTTAAGGAGATACCCTTGAGGTCAAACTGAGAGCTATGCAGGTGGCACTCTTAAAGGATGAGTTTTTCCCAGGGACAATTTTCAAATATCAGAAGAGGCATAGTTCCTAAAGCATTCCAGATGCATGAAGCGTAGAATTCTGCCCTAACTGCCAGACTGTGCTAGAATTGATGGAGTAGAGCTAGAAGATATTTGTACATTGTAAGTGCTGACATCTGATATTAAAGTCAATAAAATGTCCTCAGTTTTAATGCATTGCTGTGGGTTAGAACTTTAACCATCTATGTCTGGTGTCCAAGAATTGGGTGTGCTTGTTTCTAGCACTTATAACAAGTAACTCCTGTTTAACTCTACATGTCCTTTGGAAAGTTTGGGAATTTGAATTGTTTACATGGAACTCAGATTATTTCATACTTTTTTTCGATAGCTTTCTCTGTATATGGATAAGTTTGAAGAATTCCAGACTACCATGGCAAAAAGTAATGAACTGTTTACAACCTTCAGGCAGGAAATGGAAAAGGTATTTGCATATTTTTAATAGAATATTACATAAAGGGAATTTATATAAGCATGACTGGTATTTGGATGAGTTCATGTTATGATACTGTCTTAATTTTCTCTTTTCTGATTGTCCAGTGGCAGTTTTGGTCACTTTGCCCTCAATGTACCACAAGTAGCTAATTATCTCTGTGCTCTTAGAATTCTATCTTTATTACAGTGAAATCCTCTATAAAATACAACTTGTACATAGAAATAAAGTGGTGAGTTTTTTGTCGTTTGGCTTGTTTTTTGTTTAACCACTCCTTGGATCACGCCTTGGTCCTTTCACGGAACTCTGTCCTTGGAGATTAAAATTATTTAAAGACATCCAAGCTCATAAGAGTAATTACATATTTTGGTTGAGCTGCCAGCGCGCGCGCGCACACAAACACACAAACACACACACACACACACACACACACGTGTGTTTATTTATTTATTGATCGAATTGGGGTCTCTGTCACCTAAGCTGGAGTGCAGTGGCATGCTCATGGCTCACTGCAACCTCAACTTTCTGGTCTCAGGCAGTCCTCCTGCTTCAGCCTCCTGAGTAACAGGGAATACAGGCAATACACCACCATGCCTGGCTAAATTTTTGCTTTTTTGTAGAGACAAGCCCAGGCTGGTCTTGAACTCCTTGGGTCAAGCAGTCCTCCCGCCTCGGTCTCCCAAAGTGCCAGGATTACAGTGTGAGCCACCCTGCCCAGCCTATATGTGTTTCTACCCTTTTTTTTTTTTTTTTTTTTTTGAGTTGGAGTCTCACTGTCGCCCAGACTGGAGTGTAGTGGCACACTCCTGGCCACCGCAGCCTCAACCTGCTGGGCTCCAGCAATCCTTCCGCCTCAGCCTTTCAAGTAGCTGGAACTACAGGTGTGCACTACCACGCCCGGCTAATTTTTAAAAATTTATTGGAGACGCGGTCTCGCCAAGTTGCCCGGGTAAGTCTCAAACCCGCAGGCTCAGGCAATCCACTGACCTCAGCCTCCCAAAGTGTTGGGATTACAGGCTGAGCTACCGAGCCCGGCCTTTACCTTTTTTAAAAAGCTTTTTTTAAAAAAACTTTACACCCACTGAAACCTTCCTCCCCAACCAAATTCTTTGGCTTCTGTTGCATTTTCATGCCTACATTTGGGAAAGAGATATCCTTGATGTCAAGCTAAGAACAAAAATATGTAATTTGATACAAATCTGCCCATCCTTATTTTACTTACAGTGGGGGATTAAGAAAATGGTGTTATGCTGGGGAGAAGTACAGTACTGCCAGGGACGTTGTAAGCATTCAGTAGATGTCGGTCATGACTATTATTAGATCTTCCATAGTGGTTGAGGCCATGTGCTCTGGGTTCATGTCCCAGTGGCATCATATAACATGTGATCGTGGACAAGTTGTTTAACTGTTCTATGTCCGTTCCTTCATTGTTAAAAATGGTAACAACAGCAAAAAAAAACTAAAAAAGAAAAACAGTAACAAAAATATGTACCCAGCTGGGCTCGGGGGCTCAGTCTGTAATCCCAGCACTTTGGGAGGCTGAGGTGAGTGGATTGCCTGAGCTCATGGGTTTGAGACCAGCCTAGGTAACGGCGCGACCTCATCTCTATAATAGATTTAAAAAAAAAAATTAGCCGGGCATGGTAGCGCACACCTGTAGTTCCAGCTAATTGAAAGGCTGAAGCAGAAGGATCACCGGAGCCCAGCAGGTCGACACTGGAGTGGCTGTGAGTGCGCTTTGGCACTCTAGCTTGGGTGACAGGGTAAGACTCCAACTCAAAAAAAAAAAAAAAGGTACCCTTCCAAGTAGAGTATTTCAGACAGCGCTTGACACAATAGCATGTGCTCAAATTTCCACCGTCAGGTACTTTTAGACCTAGTAATCTAAAGAATTCCATGAGCAGCAGATTCGTTCTGCCTGCCAGTCCTTTCAGTTGACACTCCAATCGAGGGACTACTATTAGGCACAGGGAAAGCATAAGCTGGGCTCCAGGACAGGCTCACCGTGGAGGCAGAACAGTTTCAGGCGGGGACTCCCACAGCTCTGCTGTCTTGGAGAATCCTCTGGGACTGGAACATGCCCCTCTGTGGTGGCTACAGAGATCACTGTGGGTCAGCACTCAACCCAGATCTTTTCCATGAGCTCTTCCCACGGCCTTTGGCCCAGTTTGCCTTGTGTTACGGTTCTGTGGGTAATTACCGAAGGCCCAGGGCATTGGCTGTGCCTTATCCTTGTTTCCCTTAACAGCACCTGGCTCGGTGCCCCGACTTGGATCAGGGCTGGTGTACGGTCAGCAGTGGATGGAGGAATATTGAGAATGTGGCTGACTGACAGGCATGGAGAAATCCCATTCTGGATTTCTGAAAACCATTCTGATAACATGGATTTAAGAACGCTTCCATGATTTCTGGACCCAGATTTCTGAACTTTAGCAAAATCTGAAGTAAAACATTCTTGTGAGGTGTAGGGATGACCAAAGTCAAAGGGTTAACTACTTTTATCTTTTTGGTCACTGGAGTCTTACCTAAATAATACTAACTCTAGTTCTGAAGCCGATATGATCTCAGAGGTTGTGGGAGGGCATCCATTCTTAAATCTTTGTCCTCCCAAGAATCTTGAGGAAGCCGGGCTCGGTGGCTCAGCCTGTAATCCCGCGCCTTTGGGAGGCTGAGGTGAGTGATTGCCTGAGCCCATGGGTTCGAGACCCGCCTGGGCAGGCGAGACCTCATCTCTACAATAAATCAAAAAATCAGCCGGGCGTGGTAGCACGCGCCTGTAGTTCCAGCTACATGGAAGGCTGAGGCGGAAGGATCGCCGGAGCCCAGCAGGTCGAGGCTGCGGTGGCCGGGAGCGGCCACTGCACTCCAGTCTGGGCGACAGAGTGAGACTCCAACTCAAAAAAAAAAAAAAAAAAAAGAATCTGAGGAAGTCACTTAATGGGAGAAAATGCACAATCATGAACATTTTTTCATGCAGCTTGGGCAGAAGGAGGGTTTGTCCCTTGCTATCTCCAGCTGGGATGGAAGCTACACTTCAGCCTTAACTGAGTTCAGAGTGTGGTGTCTGACAGCTTCCTCTATGTGCGGCTGCCTCTGAAATTGAGATTCAGTTTGTTTTTCTCATAATACAGAACTCCTTCTTTGGCTCCCCCCTAGCTTTTGAGATAAGCTCTGCTGCCAACAGACGGGCACAGCTACTTTAAAGACACAGCTGTCAGCTGGGCGAGGCAGGTGCAGCAATGGGGGAGGGGGGGAGGAGTATGAAGACATTTTTGTGCAGTGGGACAGGGAGAAGAGATAAGTGGAACTTAGAACTTAAATTTGCAATTGTGTTGATTCACAGATGACAAAGAAAATTAAAAAACTGGAAAAAGAAACAATAATATGGCGTACCAAATGGGAAAACAATAATAAAGCACTTCTACAAATGGCTGAAGAGGTGAGATGTTTTCCAGCAACTAAATTGTAGTCTTGGTTATGGGGATTGAGTTTAGGTACCCGTCAGGGCAGGGGACGTGTGTTGTGACACTACCATGGGAGTTGAAGACTGGCCAGTTGGGAGGCGGGGGTTGCTTAGTGTGTTCTGTGATCTGTGATGTCTTTCCTGGCAGTTAAGTTAGGTGTAAGGCCCTGAGTGAGAGATCAGGCTTCTTACTATACAGTTAAGGCAGCCCCAGCTAGTGTTGGATTGCTGTAATCTAGATTTTGCTTTCTTCTACACTAGTGGTTTCTTAAGACTCCCAGTTAAGACCAGGATTGCTAGGCTGCATCCATCCAGAGGCTCAGAAACACTAGGTCCAGGGTGTGCAGAGAACTGGCTTTTCTCATAGGCACCCAGGTTGATTTTGATGCAGCTGGAACAAGGCCCACCCTTGGGAATTGGTGATCCAACTTCACAGAGAGAGCACACAAGCAAGCAGCTGTGCCTTTCTAACTTGACTGATTAGTTTTTCAAAAAGCAACAGAGTACTTTTTGCCAGTTTTAAAAAGCTGAAACGTATTGCTTGCGGTCACTAAATTTCACACCTTCAGAAACTTAATAGGACTAATTTATAACATTTCACAAGAGAGAAAATGTTGGGGCACATGTATACAAGAATCTTGTTCTCATCTAAAAATTGGCAGAACACAAGATAAATCTACATAGAACTAGAGTCGTTTTCAATTTTTATTTAGGCCCTTAATGTTTTAGTCTTTGTATTGACTATCTTGCATTTCTCTAGTAGTTCAATATGAAATGTCTTAAAAAGTTCGGTGGATTTTATTTTTTAAAAACATGTTAAAGAGGGAATTTAATTATGTCACCTCGGAACAATATGGTATGAAGTAGCAGTCTGTGTAGACAAGTGTGCTGTCTGCTAGCTGGCCACCACCTTAGGTGTCAAGAAAGTGAACTTGTCCAAAAGGTGAGAGGATAGGTCGTTTTCAGTATGGTTCAGCTTCCTTGACTCTGTCTACTATAACCTGATTTGTGTTTCATGAGATTACATAAAGCCTGGTCTCTTTTTTCTTTCAGAAAACTGTCCGTGATAAAGAGTACAAGGCCTTTCAAATAAAACTGGAACGGTTAGAGAAGCTGTGCAGGGCCCTTCAGACAGAAAGGAATGAGCTCAACGAGAAGGTGGAAGTCCTGAAAGAGCAGGTCTCTGTCAGAGCAGCTGATGGGGATTTAGCGCCACCTGTGACACAGCCCTGTGCTGCTCTGGATTCTCACAGGGAGCTGAACACTGCCTCGAAAAGAGCCCCAGGGGTGCACTTGGAGGCCGAGCCCAAGAGTGAGAAAAGCACAGCACAGAAGCCCCTGTGCACAGGCTCCGCTCCAGGCATTGAGTCAGTTGACTAAGATGAAGTGTGCACACTGTATCGAGAGATCTATTTTGTGTATAACTTTCTCTGTTAGTAGTAACTATTGGTTTTGTGGTGAAAATTTTCTTACTTTTTCTACCATATCTGTATTTTCTTAGAACTACTGGACTTATGTGGTACAGGAGGCTGCTTAGCAGTTTGGGATAGTTTTAATCTATACGTTTTCCTCAGCTGTGTTGCACACCTGCCTCATTTCCCCCTTCATTGGAATGCATGTGTCCATTGCCTTGTCTTTTCTCTTCCCTGCTCCTTGCACATAATTATCCTAGTTAAAATCTCACTCAAGACAGGGCCGGCCATTCAAGGAAACTTTGTTATGACAATGGTTTCTTGATGTGAAGACAATATTAATTTAAATGTCTTAGACCCCCATTAATGTTACTCAAAAAAGGTTAGGATGGTTAGTTTTGTCTAATAGCTCATTTAAATGCCACATAAAAAAACCTCTAGTGTTGGGTCAGAAACAAGCATAGCATATTTGATTCAAATTAGCTTTTTGATATTTTTATCAGTGGACAAATTGAGATGGCCACAAGCCTAGAATCCCTCTAAGTTTTGGCAGAATATGTATATAAAGATGTCACTTGTGGACAAAGTAGTATATACAGGAGAATCTTTTTTGAGTCAGAGTCCCAGTCTGTATTCCAGGCTGGGTGCAGTGGCACACTCATGGCCACTGAAGCCTTGACCTGCTGGGCTCAGGTGATCCTTCCACCTTAGCCTTAACTACAGGCACATACCACCATGCCCGGTGAATTTTTTTATTGTAGAGATGAGGTCCCACCAAGTTGCCCAGGCTGGCAGGCAGATCATTTTACAAACAGGCTTCATGTTTATTTGACTGAAAATAGTCATACAACTTTGGTTTCAGGTTAGGACCCATGTGTGGAATTTGCACCACCGGGGGCTCCTGTAGAGGATGGTGGTTTGTGTTCATCTCTGATTTGAGTACATATGCTGTACTTCACAATGAAAGCTGATCATCCTTTGAAACTGTTCACTTTTACAAGTCCTTTGTCAGCTTAAGTCAAGGAGGGGTCTATTCATGCATAGCTGTCACTAGGCAAGAGTTCTCCACCAGTTTCTGGCTACTTGAGAGTTGTTACAGGAGCCCCACCAGCAGAGTACTCCAGGTTTTTTAAAAGAGAATTTAAATTATGGATCAGTGCTTACCGAGACTGACTTCATTTCCAAAACAATCACTGGAACCAACATTTTCACTCTGGGAAAACTTGGCAGAGTGTTAAGTCACCAGGAGCCATTACAATGCTTTCAGTCTTGTTTCGTACCCCTTAGTCTTTTTTTTTTTAAAGAAGAAAACACCACAGTATTATTAAGGTCTGTACACTTGGAATGGGGGAAATTTTGAAATGAAGCACATAACTTATCAATTCGTTCTTTAACTTTCCTTTGTTTTTTTCGATATTGAATGTGGCTCAGTTATGCAAATGATTAATCAGGCTGCACTGATGAAAGGTTTGACTTTGTCCCTGGTATAATTTGCATTAATGCTTTATGAAATAAAAAGGTTCTAGTAGAACTGATGTTAGCACATTCCACTGAGCAAAATTATCAAACTGACACTTGTTAAATTGCTTACTGGACTGAATAAACTCCGTTTTGTCCAGTTAAAAGGGTTTTCTCTTTGTTAAAAGTTTGATTTGTAAAGTCCTGTCACATTCATGGTCTAAACTGGGTTGAAAGAATTGAAAATTGTCCAATAGATAGGAAACAGCGCCTGGAGTGGAGGATTATATCTAAGCTTCCACCATCAGTCATGTTAATTCAAGGGGCCAGACGGTAGAAGAAAAGAAATCCACAAAGCAGGTTATCTAATTACCCTGTCAAAATGAGTCGGAAGCAAAAACAATACCCTCCAACAGACTCTTATAAGTACTGCCCTTTGATACTGGACTCATTTCTGAAGGTATACACAAAAAATATAGTCTATCTTAAAATCAGTACTAATGATCACATCTCACAAGAACTCTGCTGGATGTACAGCCCTCAACATTTTAAGCCATTCGTGTGTAGCCCACCACTTTTCTTTGTGGTGCTTGTCCTGTGTGGAAGATTGTATATCTTGGACCTGTTGCCTATTTTCAAGGGCTTTATAAAGCAATGTGATTAACAGTACTTGGCCTGCTGCTTTTGGCTTACTATGTATTTTTAGCTAGACGCTATCATAGTGTTTCAAGGATATGGATTCAGTCTGGATGCATTTGGTGTCCTTTCAGAATCTTTCCTCCCATTACCCTGTGAATAAAAACAAGTGGGACTTTCTGAGGACACCCTCCTAGTGATCACCTCACCAGCCCAGTGTTGTGGCTTTGTAGCACGCCCTGTATCCGCCATATTCTAGAACACTGTAATGCTACTAGGTTGGCCCACAAAAGGTTTAAATGTTGAATTCACTTCTATTGCATTTGTTGCACCATCACAGAAACTTGCTGTGTATTATCTCTAGTAGCAGTAGACTCCAAGATGTTAAGAAAACCTGGGTCTTGGATAACATGGACCATTTCATCCTCAGACTTGTAGTACATTTCTTGGTCTTGAGACCAGTATTTTTCAGTTATGTATGCAACTGCCTTTATTACACCTGGTTATCACAATTCAATTCTCAGGTGTTGCAGAAAAATCTACCTCTTTCAGACTGTAGATGGAAATAACTGTGAAAAAAATGCAGATATCTTCTAGTTTGTGCTAAACACACTGCTTTATTTTTACAGCCCACGTCTTTCATGAGGATACGAATTGTTAAGAGGCAGTTTTGTTTTGCTTTTCAAAGACATTTTGTAGAGATTTTTCACTAATGTGAATCTGATTTTATCTACTTGATTCTGTATAGATTAAGTAAATATGTATGATACATTTAACAGCTTCTGTGTATTCTTTTATTACCCATGAGGCCTTAATAGTTGTAATAAGTCCAAAGGTACAATTTCACCCATTTCTACTCAAAAAAGTGGATATATGCACGCACACACCCCAGTCTCCTACCAAACTTCTAAAGGAATAAAACAAAATTTATTTTAAAACCTTTATTTCTGCAAAGCCAATCAAGAAGTGTTGGGAGGAAAAAGTGTAAAAGTTACTCTTGCATATTTGGGAACAGCAAGCACTTAGTTTGAGAAAATAAGGACTTAAAACGGCTGAATCAAAGGCAGTACTCTGCTACACTCGTATTTTAAAACAATGATGATACTCTTTCTTAAGCAACATTCTTCTCTTCCCTAATAGCTACAATATGATACAGTACGCAACAGCTCACTTGAAAGTGCTAGAATCAGAGGGTAAAGAACGCCATAAGCCATCCCACTTAACATTTCCTACTATACAATGCCTTTTTGGCGCTTGATAACTCAAGCCTTCTTGTAGTATTACATTCAACAGAAACACCTCTTGTACTTTGGGTTTAAGATCCTTGTCCCTCCAGTTCCGATGTTGTGACATCTGACTCTTCATCATTGTAAATATTTTCAGCCTGGAGACAACCAAATAAATTCACAGGTAAAACTTCCTATGGTTTTTATAAGATCTAAATATAGAATGTAATCTGTCTATCCAGAATGTTTATTAGCTTCATTTTTGTGGTTCTCTCTAAAAACTTCAATGAGGAAATGGTAGGCCAGTATGTATGGAAGGTATTCTCAAACACTACTCACCAGTATGTAATTCCACATATACACCTAGCCACTTGTGTACTACATGTTTCGATCACTGTTCCTAAGAGGTGTTTTTTAAAAGCATTTCAAGCATCATTTAGAGGAAGTTCTAGTCCAGATGTTTATGAAAGCTTGGCTAACAACTAAACACCTCAGAAATGTCAAGTACTTGGTGTTCATCAGAGATCTTGGTATCACCTGAATGCCTGGACATCTTCCTGTATCCCTCATGCCTATGACACAGCACGGACACTGGAGACAGAGCAGCGATGCCAGACCCCAGTGGATGAAGAGTGCAACAATGAAAACTGGAGTAGATGCTGTGCCTGCACCTGTGTGCCTACACATGTACAGAGATTTCTCCTGCAGATGAAGCATCAGGATGGAACTAAAGACCATGTTGTTAAAATGGAAAAAGTTCTTTTCAACTGTTTCCTGTCTATAAATGTTTGCTATAATATGCACCTAAATATTTGAAATAATTCTATTACATTATATCACTAGTAAATCTCCTTTACAAGACAGTCATTTGAAAAAACCAAATATACTCACCATTTGCCATATCTGCATGATGTTATCCTCAGACACTGAGCAAATGACCCAAGGCTCATTGGGGTTCCAGCTAAAATCTGAAATCTTGGCAGTATGTCCTCCATGAATAAACTGTTAATAAGAACAAAAAAGCCTCTGTTTCATAATATACTCTCTTGTTAGTCCTAATATTAAAGATTTTAAAAATAGTTTTTAAGAGCATCAGTATTTCAAGATGGGGATAAGATGCTGTCCCATGGTTTAGGGGGAGGGTGGTACAGGTTCAGTAATCTACCTCCAATTACTTATTTTGCAAATTTTGAAACCTTCAGAAAAGGTGACAGGATACAGTACAACAGATACCTGCATATGCTTCACCTAGATTCACCAAGTGCTATTTTGTTAACATATGCTTTCTCTATCCATATGTGCCTATACATGGAAATGGCTAAGGACTTCACCCAATGTGTCCTAAGAATGAGGACTCTTCTCTACATAACCGCAGTTAGGTGTGAGCCTGCTTCCGGCACACCATGCTACACATACTCTTTTCTACACTGGTCCTACCTGAGGAGTCTTATGGTTCTCCCCCTGCCCCCTTACTAGAAGAAAGGCATACTGCTTACACAGCCTTGGTCTTCCCAAGGTACACTGCCCCAATGTGAAATAATACTCCTAGGGTTGCAAAAGCACAGCTCCAGATAGTCCCCCATGAGCTATGTCTAAGCCAACATAGCTTTGCTAAAACAATGCTGAAGGGGGCAGAGTCTTATTTCCTGCAAGAGAAAACCTCATGGGAAGACACTGTGCCTTATTTATCTTAGAATTAAGATTCAGAGGAAACAGTTCTTCACAAGGACAATATTAATACAGTTTTGAACTGGGACAAGGACAGTATTAATAAATACACTGTTTTGACAAAGTCTGATGTGACTCTTTGACAATGAGGTCTCTGTCTGCCAACTAGGTTATATGCAATGTA